AGCCCTTCAGTGCACCAACAAAACAAGTTGGGTAACATAACGGGGGGGGGGAAGGAACAGACCAAAAAGATGTCTTTACAACAGCAACACAATTTTAAAAAAACAAACCAACAATGAGGCATGAAGCAAAGAAGGACGCTCATTACTCTTCTGTGTTACAATTCAACTCTTACGACAACAGTGAGAACTGGTATTAGCCCCACCCGGCAGATGTGACACCAAGGCAGTGCGATTAGGTGACTTGCCCTTTGACACTCTGCTCTTTTGCCTCCGTAGCCCTTCAGTGCACCAACAAAACAAGTTGGGTAACATAACAGGGGGGGAAGGAACAGACCAAAAAGATGTCTATACAACAGCAACACAATTTAAAAAAACAACAACAATGAGGCATGAAGCAAACAAAAGACATGCAAGACAGCGCCTTGGCTGGGAGGAAGTCCTGGCTCCAGTCCCTGGCTCTGTCTGGCAGGGCAGAGTGGCCGCGGCTCCCGCAGGTGGCCGGGAGGCACTGCTCGGCACCATTGCAGCCACTACCCCAGGCAGCGAATCACCTCCTGGATTTCAAACAAGGACCCCTGTGGAATCTCCTCAAATTCGCTTGTGGCTTCCCCTCCTTCCAGGGGGTGACCGGTGTAGCCTCATCTCCACCCAGCAGGGTCTCCCTGTGTCAACTGCAACCTCAGTGACAGTGCTTCCGTTTCTAAGCTCTACCTGCCCAAGTGCCAAAGGTCTCCCCTGTGCTGGACCACCATCACCGCACAGACATAGTTTTCAGCACCTTGGGACACTCTTCGCGTTCTGAGCAGGGCCAAAGGCTTCAGCCAAGCTTTCCAACTTCCTGTTCGGCTCAATCTCCTCAAATTCGCTTGTGGCTTCCCCTCCTTCCAGGGGGTGACCGGTGTAGCCTCATCTCCACCCAGCAGGGTCTCCCTGTGTCAACTGCAACCTCAGTGACAGTGCTTCGTTTCTAAGCTCTACCTGCCCCGAGTGCCAAAGATCCCCTGTGCTGGACCACCATCACCACACAGACATAGTTTTCAGCACCTTGGGACGCTCTTCGCATTCTGAGCCAAGCTCTCCAGCTTCCTGTTCAGCTTGCTGCTTCCAGGGGTTTGAAAGAAGTCTTTCCAGCGTGTGCAATGTAATAGCTTGTGTTTTGAGAAATTGAAAGGATGGCCCCATAAAACCCCTGGCATGATGCCCAGGGCTAATGTCATCCTTAATGGGCGCTCCTTGAACCATCTGCTCTGTCTCATCACAGACTGTCTAGGGCTCTTACTACTCACAGAACCAAGGGGGCTTCACCGTCAGGGTCCGGAGTAAGACGAGGCAACAGAACGCAAGGGGCTACTTCTGAGATCCCATGTGTTACAGTTAAGCCCCTCTTGTACTGGGGAAATGGAACCAACTATGGTCGAGGGTAGTCTGGGAAACGGGGCGAGTTTATAATATAGCTAGGGCAACGGGGCAAGTTGATATTATTAGCTAGGGCAACGGGGCAAGTTGATTAATAAATACCTTGGTAACGGGCAGTGTTGATTAATATGTCCCAGGTAACTTTGTGTGTGTTTAGCCAACCGTTTTGTGAATAAAAGGCTGGCCTGGAACCAGGGTCGGCGCTGTCGTGGGAGAGAACGCCTACGGCAGTCGCTGACCAGCTTTTCAATAAATCCTCACTTGCTGCTTAAGACCTAATTGGAGTTGGTGGTCTTACTCTCGCGAATGTTGGTCCACAACACATTCAAGGCACTAAAATGCCCTGGGGGGGCCTACGGCCCACCATGGCTGCTGTTTCCTTTCCTCAAGCTAATTAGTGGTCCAGCTCTGCCCCATATTCCTCCCTTGTAGCTGAACAGGAACCCCTACAGCACCTCTAGTCTGTTGATTGTTCTAACTCTAAACCTCGCAGTTGCAACAATACTTATACCTACTCCTCTAACTGAGGAAAGGAAAAGGAAATTGCTATAGGAAAATTTTAAAAATCTATTTAAAGAACTAGATAAGTTAATATTTGTGGGGTTATTTACATTGTATAAGTAAAGTACAAGTACGTACAGTTGATAGCTTCTGATATCGTCCATCTCTGTTACAGTTCCTCCGGTAAACGTTTGCTTGTCAATGGGAAGACTCAGAGATCCAGGAACAATGTTCTGATCACATTAATTACAACCAGGAGGGTATCGTAACACGGTAAAGACCCTGCTCACTTGTCAGTGTTCTTGGGTTGCTTAGGTATCTTTCATTCACCAGAATCCCTATGTGCCTTCCATTTCTCAGGGTCCTAGAACTTCAACCACCAAGAGCTTCTAAGAAAAAGGAATATAGGTAACTCCTGTGGACTGTTATGGACTGAAGGTTTGCACACACCCCTCCCCCCAATTCATATATTATTAACCCCCCAGTGTGGCTGCATTTAACATATTTGGAGATGGGACTTCTGAGGAAGTAATCAAGGTTAAATGAAATCTTAAGGGTGGGGCCCTGATCCTACAGGATTAGTGTCCTTTAAGCAGAGACATTAGAGAGCGCCCTCACCACCCCCCCACCCCTTCCCCCCCACACTGAGGAAAGACCAGGTGAGGATAGAGATGTGATTGTCTATGATCCAGAAAGAGAGGCCTTCAGAAACCAAATTTGCTGCCACCTTAATCTCAGACTTCCAGCCTCCAGAATTGTGAGCAAATAAATTTATGTTGTTTAAGCCATCTAGACTGTGGAACTTTGTTATAGCATCCTGAGCAAAATAAATACAGCCGACTCTTGACACCACGGGGTTAGGGACATTCCCTCCTCGTGCAGTAAAAAATCTGTGTTTAAAATACCTGGATTCGACCAACTGCAGATTGAAACAGCACTCGGAATTGGCAGTTGGGAATGTGAAAATACTGTTTTCCAGCCGTGACCGGTTGAATCTGCAGATGTGAAACTGAAGTATGGTAGCAATCATCTCAGGTAGAAACTATAGTTTAACTTTAACCCTGCTGTTTGGCTTCTGTACTTATTTGCTTTGTTTAACAATAGAAAAGTTATTTTGATTTTCTGAATTATATAGATCATCCCATGTGATTGGATACCCTATTGATTGTAATGTGAAATCCCATTTGTAGTGGTTATACTGGTCTTAGAAAGTACATTTTCCTTTACCTGGGAAGGACAGCACAGTTATCCCAAGGTCAGAGGGCTCCAGTAACATACTTAAGTCTGACCAGGTTCCTCATTCCAGACCCGAGGGCTCTAGATAATGTGTTTCTGTCAATTCAGCGATCCAGAGACCCCAAAACTGTAATTTAACCTGCTGCGTCTGCTTCTGTAAACTGCTTTTTTGCGAACCACGTTCCTTATTCCAAACCCTGGGATGTAATCAATACCTTTGTGATTTTTGCCTATATAAGTCTGGTGTTTCGACCATCTTGTTACTATGAGATTTGGGAAAGCAAAATGGCCCCTCATAGTCCCGGATTGCAATAAATGTGACTCTTTAATTCGACTTCTTGGGGCGTCCTCCTGTGATTCGCGGGGTACATTACAACAAAACCCGTGGATACAAAGGGTCAGCTGTATTTATCGAAAAGAATCTGTATAGACGTGGACATGTGGTTCAAACCTGTGCTTTCAAGGGTCAACTTCACTTATAAAGCTTCAGAGGGTTTAAGCTGGGCCCACGGATAGAGCTGTGTTTCAATCAGACTTTTCAATGTAATCCTATGTAGTTTATACATTTAGAAACATTATTCTGAGAAGGGCTACAAAGCTTCACCAAATTGCCAACAAGGTCCCATAAATAAGGCACAAAAAATATTAAGAACCAATTTCCCTCCTCTGGCGGTCATAAAATAAATCCATGTGGTCTCAACCATAAGTCTTACTATTTCCTAGTACATTCTGGTCTAAACCCTTTAACTATAGTAATACCTGTACATCAATACAGATATAGGTGAGAGAGAACATTACATAGTATTGTCTGAAATATTTAATTCTAGCAGACACATATACTTTGAGTGTAAGACACTATGTAACATAGTAGTATAACCACATATATATACCACATGTACCACATAACAAGTATTACAAATCACAGTGAACATCATAATGATAGTTCAACAGGGCAACCAGAAGTATCAGTGTTTGAAAGCTGGACCATAAGAAACCTTTCAGGAAAGCCGAGCGCTGAGTCTGACAAGGAACCAGCTCACATGTTTGCTGTCAGGGTTCAGGGAAGAAGGCTAACCAGCTGATGCTAATGAGTGGAGTAAGTCAACCAACACATTTCTGCTGTTAGGCGTGGTTTATAACCAGGTCTAAAGAACCTAAATATCCTACCGGGGAGAAATAATTACCATCATAACAACAACCACCCAACCAGTCCTACTGCCCAAAACACCAGTACTTCATAAATACAGAATTGGGAAGAATTAATCAATCTGTGGGGGGGGGGGGGGGGGGGAGCAAGCTTTTAGGGGATATATAAGTAAAATAGCCATGTGAAAATAAACATTTGGGATGGCTTTCCTTTGTATAGTATTTGTACAGGATTGTATTTATAATCCTAAAGGAGGCCAAGCTTTATGCATAAAGTTCATTACTGTTGCTTCTAACACAGAATGAAAGCAAGCAATCTAGCAACCAGGAATCCGGTTACTGTGTACATTCCATCCGAGGGGTATTTAATACGCTGGTAATAGAATTAGGATTAAAGGGGCAATGTAATACCAGAGGAAGATACTTACGTTATTATATTATGTTAAAAACCCACCAACACTCAAAACTGAAGATAGAGTATGATTCTAAAATTTAGAATTTAAAATTATGGGCGTGGGGGAGAAATCTCAGTTGAAGAGTTTGGTAAAACACTTTTTCTCTCTTTCCCTTTTATCCTCGGTGTATCTTCTCCATTTTTCACCATCACTTCATTCGCTCAGCAAAGTTGGTTACTGCAGGCCCTGCTCTGGGACAGAGCAAACAGCATGGGGTAAAAAGGTCCCGTGCTCAGAGGAACTTACCTCTCAGCTGCAGAGGGCGTAAACTTAACAAGACAGTTCAACTAAAAGGCATATCAGATGATTAGTGTTCGGCGAAAATGAAGAAAAAACAGGAAGAAAAGAAAATTGATGCTGCAGTTACTGTTTGACCTGGGGGTAGGGGGTAAGAAACCCAGGGGAAAGGCCTTGAGCCCGGCGGCCCACTGAACGCGCGGGACGCGCCAGCCCAGCAGGAGGCGCTGC